AAAAAAAAAAAAAAAAAGGTGGATTTTTTTTTTTTTATCAACATACAATAAATATATCTCCCATGTATTTGGGATGGACAACTTGAATCAACACCTTGCAATTGCAGATTGTTAATTTCAGTATTTGCAAGGATGGTGATTTTTTGTTTTGTTTAAAAATCCGCAGTTTTTGTAAGATTCTTCTTTATTTCTTTTTTTTTTTCTTTTTTTAAAAAGGCCTGAGTAAAAAGTTCCACTCTGGGACTTGTATCAGATTCTCTCTGAAGCAGAATTCAACCTCTTCATTAATAAAATTCTTCAAGGCAATTCTTTCACATGGGGGGAACAATCATGCCAGATATAGCTGTTAGAAGGAGGGGAGAGGGAAAGAGAGGAAGAAAAAGAAAAAAAAAAAAAGTATGTTACTTCTGTGCATTATAAAGCAAAAATCCTCAGAGCTTTYAAACATTTACTAGCAATGTACTCAGCTGTATTGTGAATTAAATTTATATTTAAGTATCATCCCATAGACACAACTGTGTATGCATTACAAGAAATCTGATTCTAATTTAAAAGCGGTCTAATTGTGACTCTGCTGAAATTAGTGGTTTTTTTTTCTTCCAAAATAAGGACAGTTCACCTGATAGCAGAGTCAGTTCTTAACTTAATTTTCTAGTTTTTAGATGCAAAGTCTGGCTATTGCTAAAATTGATTAGGAGGCTTAAACTTGAATCAGACATCGTCATACATTCTTTTATGTTTTTAGAAGAAAAGCAGATTTTTTGCTCCGTATATAAGCAAATGGCTACAGTCTTCTAAAACACCAGTATTACAGAAACCATAATGAGTTTGTCACATTACACACATTGATGGTGGCTCATTTTTCCCATACAAGTTCAGTATTCAACCTTATAATTTCATGAATGCATTTTCAAGGGGCCCAAAAAGGACTTAAACCCTCAAGTCCTTTGCTCCAAGGCACAGTGGAAATCTGTCCCTAACTGAGGGCTTAGCAGACCAGCAGCTCATGGTTTTATCACGCTTGTAAAAGATTTCACTATCTACATTAATTCAGTAGCATGTTAATATTGATTTTTGAATGTCCTTTCTGTTGGTTAAGTTGAACCATCAGTATTTTTTCCTCATTTTTCTGTGGCATCACCATCTCGCTTAAAGAAGATACATTCATTAAAGGCCAACAGGTCCAGCCTTTCACCTAGCTTGACCTCCAGCTTGGTCTCCCTCTGTTTGCCAAGGACTCTACAGATCAGACATACCAAGTGCTCCAGTGATAGACAGTGAGCAAGCACATCACTACAGGAGGTAGTCATGTAAGTTTATGATGAAAGCTGTAACAACAATACATCTTTAAAGCACCATTTGTACAGTGGTTTGCACAAAAAAAAAGAAAAAAAAAGGTAGAAAACAGCTTTGCCTTCAGGTTGGCGGCACTTCATGGGCACATTATTTAAATGCTAGAACTGCCTGCCATCTCCGACATCTGGGCATGTAATTTCTTAAGGAAGAACTCAACCCTGTGACTGGTGCTGATTCATTGTGCTTTAATTACAGCTGCAATTATTTGATAAGAACGGAGCCAAAGTAAAAGACTCGCAGATTTGGGGTTGGAGGGGGAGAGGAGAGAAATGTTTTCTCCACAAACACCACCATATGTGCAAGAATTACAAGTCTAATCAGCAAGGGGAGAACAGCTCAAGTAAATTATGCTGATTAAATGAAATAAAACGKGAGAAGGAGAGAATGCAAAACACATCCACGTGTTTGCGTCAGGCCGGCTTCAGAGGTGACATGATGCAACTATACAGCAGCATTTCAATTCTCGGAATTTATCACCCAGAAATCATTTTATGTGGAAACACTGTGCTGGTTGTTTTCATTCCACATAAGGACTCCTCAAGGAGGTGTGAATGAGGCTAAATATCTAGGCTGGAAGGGACAGAGAGGATAGTCACTTTGATTTAAGCCGCACAGACCATCGCTCAAACGAGTATCAGAGAGGACACCACTCTGCCTTAGACCGTAGGCTGATGTTGGAATTGCTTTTCTTTCTTTTTAATCCTTGCCAATTTTATAAACAGTGGATGAAATAGCAACTACCTTTTTTTTCCCCACAATGAGCTGTGGCACCCCAGTGTTGGGGCATCAACATAGTAGGTTAGAGCACATAGAAGAGCAGCACTGTTTGTGTTGCTGTGTTTGTTGTTGTGTGTTTCCATCTCTACTGCTCAGGAGAGCAAGTAAGTAAAGAGCTGGGGTTGGGTAGAGACTTCCTAGATGYGCTGAGTGCAAATGAACAAAATCAAATGAATAATTAATTCTCTGTGAGCACAACTTCAGCATTTTCTGTGTTTTTCATCCTTTTCTAAACTCAGACTTTAGACAAAATTTTTAAAAAGAAGATTCTACAGAAAATGTTAAAATATTCTCCCCCCCCAAAATACCTTCTCAAGTTAAGAGAGTGATTTGGGGGGGGGGAGGGAGGGGAAGTGTCATCAAAATTTGCCAAAAATTGGCGCTCTGGGAGACCACAGCTATCTACCCTGGACAAGCCCTCAGATGAAGCTGTCGTAATTGCAAGTCCTCACTTCATAACTCTTAGGTATTTCCCTATGATTATGTATCAACCATGCACCTTTTGCCACTGAAAACAAATTATACAGATGTAGATCTCAGTATTTCAAGCCATTGTTTTTGAAAAGTGCTGATATTCTGAATTAAATTACCAAGCAAATGGCAAAATGCTATCTTTTCTGCCTAAAAGCCTTGATATTTCCATTCTTACCAAGTCTTCATTTATATCACTCTGCTTTTATTCCATAAGTGCTACATCTAGTCATGTAAATTCTCTCAGCTGTAGCATGTTATTGATCCTGAAAACAGAGCTATCAGTGGGAAACAGTGTAGGTATGAGACCACAGCATCTCCAAAAAGGGAGGCAGGCAGAGGATGAACTCCCACAAATAGCCATTATTTCCCCCATCGTACACTAATTTGTGTTTGCTGCTAGCAAATTACAGAAATAATGTATTTTGAGTTTTACAAAATTGCATGGCGAAGAGAACAACAGATAAGGGTGGCTGTTGTTTTAGTGAGTTCTGCTGATATCTAGGCTACATAAGCAAAGCTTGATTGCTTTCTGATGTATCCAGAAGCCCAAGAGAGATAAGACAGCCTCCTTGTACACGGTTGTTTATTTAAGCAATAAGACACAACAGGCAGTGCATTTCTGAGTGATTATTACCAGCCTCGGGTAGTGTCAGAAGGCACAAGGCTAAAGGCTGTGTGGCTTTAACTTACCAAGAAGTTCAGAGATGACCTAGAAACGAGCCGCCTGTCTCCGTGTCTCACTCCTCTTATAAAAACTGAATTGCTAAATAAAAATTAGGGAAACACTCAGATCTCTGTGGTTTCTGGCATTGCAGATCTGGATGTGACATAATGAGGAGGCAATCAGCAATCCCCAGTTGTGTCCAGCACTCTCAGCTCGTTCCGTAATTGCTTTTCATAATACAGTATGTGGAAGCTGGGATTTCCAYGTCTTGTGAAATGAAAAACAGGGCTTTAAAAAGCCTTCTCCTGTTACTTGCCTTTTCTCTCTAACCCAGACACGATCCTGGGACAAGGTGACGAGAACTGAAAAACCTGAATATGTTCAGAAGCTTCCAGCAGCCAACTGTTAGTTCCCTCCTTGCTTGTTTTGAATTCAGAGGTGAAACATTTTAAGCTGTCGATATTAACACGTGCAGCAAGCTGGCAGTGCCAAATTTTTAAAACACACACACAAAAAAAATCAATTTCCTGGCTCATCTATAAGCTTTGCTGTGCTTTATTCCTAAGACAGCCTGTATTTATAACAAAGTTCTGACTGAGGGCAAACATGCACTTGGGCTTCTGTGTTCCTAGCACCTCCTCTGCGAGTGTGTGTTTGCGAATCTGCAAGAATTCCTCCTCCCAATTTACTGATGTAAGATGCCCTGAGGACAATGCTTCTCTTCAGTCACAATAGATCCGAGTTTTATGAATGAATTCGTTCCACTTGCCTGCAYATAGATTTTTCGGCTGTAATGGTGCTATCAGCATTATGACCGCAAGGCTGGCGGCTCTCTTTTCAGAGGCCCAGGAGTGACATGTGGAGCCAGGGGAAGGGTGCCCTCCCCAAGCAGAACAGCTCATTCTGAACATGGCTTGGGCAAGAAAGGATTTTTCATTCTCTGCTTGGTGCTCTCTGGATAATTTGTGCAGGCACGTGGAAAGGAAAATAGACCTGAGGGCTGGGGGAAGCGCAGTGCATACCACAAAATCTTTCCCACCTCGGGCACAGTTGGAGGCAGCTGGCTGCATCTGCTTAGGAAAGCTCCGCGGTCTAAGTGAGCACGAAAACGTCTCTCTCAGCACACTAGTGCGGAGTGAGGCAGTCTCACAGGAAGAGTTAGGCACAGTGATGTAAAACAGGCTGAAGCAAACAACGAAATATCAACCAGAAAGGCACTGGCCTTTGCAGGATCTCAGTTGGGTGAGCGGTCCCGCCTGGCCCTCCCTGCACTTGCATCAACACTTCAAACCTCATTTAGGTGCTAAGAGCAGAATACTTTGCAATGAGAAGGGAAGGGACACTGCATAGGAGCAGCCCTGTCCTACCAGCAGCTGAGAGGCTTTCAAACAGACACAGCACACAGGTACATTAATCAACTAATGTTTGCACACAGGTACGTTAATCAGCGCAAACTAATGCTTGCCACGGTATGAGTTGAACTGGAAAATGCCGCTGTTAGTTTGCAATGTGACTTCTATTTATTAAAGGCAAAGGTTTGTGCCGAGCTCTGTAACTAACAGTCTATTTGCTCTCAGTAGGATTTCTGCACGTGTACTATGACAAAGAAAAAAAGGAAGGGAAGATTGAGTGACGTACTTCAGGAGAAGGCCAGCCCCTGGAGAGACCCTGCAGTGGAGTACTTGCTAGAGTCCACAAAAGACTGGTCTGATAATGGACGACAACAGGGAATAAGAAAGGAAAGAAAGAAAAAGGATGGTATTAGTAAGCTGAAATATTACTCGTCTTTATCAAAACAGTTGGCCTGTGCTTCAAAAGACACAGCCTCTCAATTCAGGAGTATTAGTTGAGTTAGGGATGGGGTGCTTGCCAAACACCTGCAAGGTACTAGGTGGGCTGAGGGTGAATATGTTACTTTTTACAAGAGCAAAGCTTAGGACAGAGACTGCCAGGTATCCCCCATGGTCTTCCATCCCCTGTGGCAGCAGCTGACTGGGTGTCACTTGGAGCATTGCAAGGCGCTGGGAACTCACGATTTGGAGAGCAGCCGACTTTGCTGCCAGTGTTGGTGTCACCTACCTTGCAGGCTATTGCCGTTGGTGCTGGTGCAGGTGGGAGGAGGAGAAGTTTGCGGTCTCACCACAGGCGCGAAAGCACTCTTCTGTTTCACCGCTGAGACCATGTTGGCTGGTGAGAAGGAGAAAATCCCAGAGGAACTGCTACAGTTTGAGGGGAGGCTAGTGGAGGAGGCCATTGTTGGACTCGATGGCACAACTAAAGGAAAAAAAACAACAACAACAAAAAAAAGATCACCAAAAGGGATTCCTTAGTATTAGGTAATCACCTGGCTGTAGAAACAAGGCTCTTGCTTCTTGGATGGACTGAGTCCAATTTCAAAAGGTCATGGCCTTTACTGCAGTTAGGTTTCTGGTTGTTCACAAAGTATAATCAGTCATTGCAAGAAACCTGCCTGCTTTCCTGGTGGTGGTGTTTTGCAGCTGTTCATAAGCAGTAATTCTAGGTGCTCTCATGGACGCCTTTAATTCTCTGTTACTGCAGTCCTTTATTCTTACAATATCCCTGGCCGCCAGCCTATTTCACATTATTCCAGTGATTGGTAACAGATACTGCTCCCATCAGAACTTGAAATGGTTTTGTGCAGGTTCACTCCTGGGTTACACAACTCAAGGGTGAGCAGAGTGGTTAAAGTACAAATCAAGACTTGGAATTTTAACTTGGAAAGGTCTAACTTTTTAACAAGTCTCCAAAACCACTTTTTGAGCAGTGCTTGCCTTGTAGCAAGACAGCTCCAAAGAAATCTATTGGATTKCAGACAAACCTACAGAGCTCTTAGCAGTAACTCAGCCAATATTCTTGTCTAATGTCGGTAAAAACGGTAACAATTTCTTCCTCTTCTAAACATGGGCTAGGACTAGCATATATATATTTATACATATGTGCTTACTTTGGGGGTTCAGGAAGGGTGAAAAGGGGAATTGAAAATTGCTTAAGTTACAACACAGAGGCTGTCCAGCACGGAGCATCTGGTGAGAGGGCCACTTTGATAGCTTTTACACCTTTGGTCTCCTGGCACTAGTGTTTTCAGTGTTTATTGCACAAGTAGATGTGTGGACGACTGATAGAATTCACACTTTCCTTTTATCTCCCAGTGGGTGAAAGCACTAAACCTTTCTCACAATGGCCACACATGTTTTCTCTATTATATCTATCTACCTATGAAGGTAGTTTCCAACTTCCAYGTTTCCACTAGCTTTGGAAAGCTTTCTCCCTGCAGACCTCCCAGGAATCCAGCATGACGAAAAACATTCATATTTCTCGTGTGACCATTTTATTTGTGACCAGGGATGGAACTGGCAGTTTAGACCTCACCTAAGATGGGAGATCTGAAAATGGAAGCCTGTTTTATAATGGGCCAGCCAAGCAATACTATCAAAGGATCCATGACCTGTCTGAATATAGTCAATATAACTTTCCAAAGGCATTGATTGGAATCTCTGGTTATAACTAAGCAATGAAGCTGATCTTGCATCAAATGAAGGTGTGGCTTTAAGTAGCAGATTGAATAAAATAGGATTCTCTAGTTTTTCTGAACACAGATGTTTTTAGAAAGCTCTCTATTTTTTTGAGCTAACCTGTTCAAAATGAAAATGCTATTCTGGAGATGAGATTTTTAAATATGTACATCCTTAAGTAGTCAGTATTTTACTTATAGTGCAATATATATCTTTGGTTCATGGCTTTATCACTGAGATTTTAAGTGGTGCTTTTTTTTTTTTGTTGCTTTGGTAAAAATGAAACCCCATATTTTTTATTATTGGACTGCATTCATGGTTTCCCCTCTTTGTCCAAGAAACGATAAGGACCAATTTTTGGTAAAAGCTCCTGTTTTCATTCTTCATCTTGCTTAAAAATTGCTTATATACATGAGGGGGCTGTGAATAATTAAGCTTTATAGAATTAAATTCATATCATTTGGGCTTTTAATTATTATTTTATTTGCATTTATGTAGATAAAAATCACCATATTTGAGCTCTTATTTGAGAATCAGATATCATATTTGTTAACACTGAGGAAATCAATTAATGGAAATTAAATGTTCAAAGTTTCACAGTGTGACAGATACAATCTTAGTCTGAAGTCACTCAGTGTCTGGAAGTACTTGCTAAGGGAGAGCAATCAAAGCACCTAAATTGAATTGCTACTATACAGCAATTAGTTTATTGATTTAATTAAGAATGCCACCTTTTAATTTTCAGGTCATGATTGAAGCATTTTCTGATTCAATGGATTAGGCGTTAGCAGAATGACAGATCTACCGAGAAAACCTCCCAAAATATAAATAGAATAAAGAACCTGGGCTAGGAGGTGAAGTGCTGTTCTAAAGAGGACTTCTTTCATAAATATAAAATAATACACTGCCAGAGTATTTTAAATGCATTACTGGCATGTGCTTCCAAAAGGAGATGTCTCATCAATCATGTTATATTATGAATTCAGATTGCACAGATTCTGTGACAGTAAATTCAACTTAATAAGTAAGGTACTTTGTAATACTACTTGCTACATTATCATTAGAGTACAAAAATAATAACTGGTTAGCAATTCCCAGGTTATACGTACTAGTTATGTGGGCAAATATTTTCTTCTAAATTCGCAGCAGCTAAGCTATGCTGTTTTTTAAAACAGAGTTATTATCCTCTTTCTTATTCTGAATTCTAGCAATGCACTCCAAAATATTCATTACTGCAGTTAATCTTRTAGAACTTAAGATTTGCTGCTTAAACTTGGATATGTTCAGCATTCTGTTTGCCATGTCCATGCTAGGGTCCGAGTCTATAAACATACTTACATGACAAGATTTTTGGCCTGATTCTGCCTCTCGTTTTCTACACATATCAGTGAAATCTATTATGCAACATGAGTAATGCCCTAGGAATTGGGCAGGTCTGTTCATTTAATTTCCTCATCTGAGTAGCAATTGCTGATCTATGCAAGCTGTACAAGAAGTGGTTCATAGGTCCTTACCAGCAGAAGCACATTTATATTTAAAAAGGTTACAAAACCTTTAAAATCAAAATGAAAAACCTTAGTCCTATACATAAATATTTTTGTAACCAGGACTCTTGACCATAAGCTCTTTATGCCATGAAATATATGGCTTCTGTGACTTGAATCTTTCTGGCACTCACTGTACAAACACTAAAATACAGACAAACTCTAAGTGCCTTGGTCATATTTTACTGACTAATACTAAGCTCTCAGTGAAGTCCCCATAATACCTGCTTACAAAGTAAACAGAGTATAAGCAATCAAGATTAGGTATGATGGTAAATCACAATTTCTATAAGGTTATGAACATTTTTCTTCAGAGGTCTTGGAAACATCAACATGCAGCTTATGGAAACTTCAGTTTTTGCCAGTATTATAGCAAACTTTTCTGCTCTTAATATCCTACAGTCAGAAAAAAAAACTATTTTTTTTTTCTGTAATATTATCTTTCTTTCTTACCAACTCCAATTAAAAGTTGTGTACTGACAACTTTTGATCCACTTCAACAGAAATTAAGCCACATATGCCATCGTTGCCAGAATCTGTTCTGGCAACATTGAGAASAGTGCTTCATAGTTACCAAGTACATGGGAAGATATGAAACTATCAACCCAAATCATGAGTGACATTATTCTTTTTCAGCTCTTATGAGTCTCCCAGATAATAACAATAAAACAGAGAAGAGCATTGCTGGCAGCAGTTATGTCTTTAAAGTGCTTCAAAGGTCAGTGCCTTGGGGAGGAGAGAGGCCCAAGCTCTGCTTCTGGTGCTTAAAATAGAAACTAAATATTGAGCATCACAGAAAAGTCACCAGCTCTTCCTAATGAAAATGTGCAAAATAAAGAAGAATCGTATCATACTCACTGGCATAGGGAGAATTGGCAGCAGATCCGTTCAGGAAGGTTGGAGAACCGCCTAAATTTGACATTCCAGCATTCCCATAGCCATTCATGCTTGTTGTGACAGAGTTATAATTTGTCTGCTGAGGGGTGGTGCTTGGCACATACCCATGAGGTGACACGCTGCTCGAGTTGCGAGTAAAACCTTTTGTGGGGAGGGAATACATTTAGAAAGTGCAATTAGCCGGGGAACAGCTTCTGAAACAAATATCGACAAGGAGGTAACTGAGAGCTAGCAAGGCAGCCACCCAACTCCAGCTGTGGTGTGCATGGATAGGGCTCGTGCTGAACACCAGCACCACCAGGACAATGCACACCACCAGGACCCACTGCCCAGGYCACACAGAATGGTTAAAGTTGGAAGGGACACATAGAGATCATCTAGTCCAASCCCCCTGCTGATGGAGCATTGAGAAGGTGGAGGAAAGTAGCTACCATCTCCAAACCTCTGCAGGAAACCCATGCCTTGGGCTGGAGATGACCATTGGGTATTACAGGAACACTCACACTAAAAGAGCTATTGGTAGGAAACGATGTGACCTTGACCTGCATTCTCAAAATGAGAAGTAATTTAGGGTGCCCAACTTGGGGCATGTTAAGAGGATGTGAGTGGGGTAGCTCTGGTGTCTCTCTCAATGCATCTCAGATTAGACTTWTACCACGCACTTTGGAAAATACAGGGTATACTCCTCACAATAGTAGCATAGCTTCAGCCTTTCTGGTCTGGTCTGATCATTATGTTTGCAGAATCTGACTGGCAAATTTGGTTCAAAGTTAAAAATGGAATTTCCACCTTATTCTGAAAATGAAATTTGGGGAACCTCATATTCAGATACTCAAAATAAGGATTTATTTCTAGAAGCACAGAAATAGAAAATGCATCTTCACTCCTGGAAAATGAAATACCAACTTTTCTTCCTATCACATATTGAAACTGTAAAATGCTCACTATCATCTGGTGTAGTTTTTGTCGTAAAACCTACTAATTTTTCTGCTTGTCCGAAAAACAGCCTCATTCTACCACTTTATCATTAAAATGGATTTGAAAKTGTATAATAAATAGACCTGAGCAAAGGAGAGGGGAAATTGCAAAGGCTATTTTGCAAAAATGTTCTTTGCATTTCTTKTTAACTGTAGAAATTAAAACAATACTGATTTTATACAATGTAAAAAATACTTTATTTTAAAAATGAGAGATGCTATGAAAATGCTTCTGTAAATATTTGGTTTCCTCCTGCTTTCAAAATTTAGAAAAATCTAAAAATCTGAAAAATATCCATCAGTATTAGTATTATGTCTCCTACAGAACAAAACAGAACAGAAAAAAAAAAAAGACAAATTCTCAAGGGATACATTTCTGTTATAAAGAAATATGTAAGATCCCAACTCAGAGACCGTGCATGTTCAGGGAAATCTATAAGCACGTTCTTCAAATTAAGTACAGGCTCAAGTTGACAGAAATCCTTTAAAAATTAGCGGGATTTAAACACAAACGCAAGCGATAGTCTGAGTGGGAAAAAATAAAATAAAAAGAAATTTAGATACATGCATAAGTGCTTTTCCCGAATCGGGGCGTATGTCGCTAAACGAAAGAGGGCCTCTGGGCAATATTGTATTAGACAGACTGTGCAGTGYCTGCCGAGGCATGTTCGGTTCGGCTCTTTTTGAGTTTTCCCCTGACTTCTAGCAGCAAAGGGTCATAAAGAGAGGAAGACGAGTCTTCTCCTGACCCTGATTGGTGGCCTGCGAGGCTTCGGAGACGTTGACAGCTAGTTGACCGCTGAAGGAGTTCACTCCCATCATCCCGGCGTGGACCGACGTGTTGGCCAGGGCCGGGAGCTGGTTGTGGTTGCGGGGAACGCTGTAGAGGGCTTCCGCGATGTCCGCGGCTCTTTTCAGGATTATTTCCTAGAGGACGGGAGGAAAAAAAAAAAAAAAGAGTTACCAATTATCCTCTGACAAGTCTTCTCCCTGATACTCAAACGCAACAATTCATTGTTCAAAGGCAAAGAAAAAAATAGATGCTTTTCTTGCTAAAGCAGCTGGCTGACTGACAGCTCATGTTTATAGATTTGCCTCCCCCACGGTAAATCCTGACATCTGTGGTAAAAGAGTTGGAAGTTTCGGTCCCAGTGGCCAAATATCTGTGTAACAAGACCAACTGGCAAAATGGGGCTGGAGCCCAGACTTATTCCCCCTTAGGGCTAAGATATCTTTACGCTAAGATTGAAAAATCACTGGTGGCAAGGCGTAATGCATCTCATTGCCCATATTATGCAGTCTCTGGTGACAGTGGATAAATGTCTCCAGGGTTAATAACATGTTGCTTTTGCAAACACTTAAATTCACACACTTTAAAAAGAAAACAAGAAAATTAACCCCTACTCCAAATATGACACTGCCCCATATACTTATTTTACTTGTGCAGTGTAGCCTCATACACCTTTAGCCCTTGGTATAGCTATACATCTAAGAAATAGCCAATGCTCAAGTAAAAATCATTTACCTGGTTATTATGTGGCATACCGTAGAGTGCTTCTACTAAATCAGCCGCCCTYTTAAGTATTACTTCCTGTCAATATAAAAACAGATGTGTTCCTCTGAGTTCAATAAAGTCTTTGTAGGGGAAATAAATGTTAGAATCTTTTATACTATTAGTTCTATTAGTTGCGCTGCATTGTGTTAGCTTGTTGTGTTTTCCCTCCCACCAGGTAGACCTTAATTGCAACAACTCTCAGCAACCACTGAATGGTGTTAAATCACTGGTTCATCCTACTCGCACACAAGCTTAATCAAGTCAAAAGGTGAGAATCATTGGTGCTGCAAAATAAAATACATCACTCAATTGTCTCTACCATCTGCACTATAAACCTCTCATCGGTTTATTGCAGAGTACAATTCCTGAGGTCATTTGCTAGATTACTGCAATCAATGTCATTCAGAGCATGTTATGAATCCCGTCAATGTGTTTATTTTATTCTTAATTGCATACTCCAGGAATTGTGACCTTACCCAGCAGGCCAYGTTCGAAAGATATCCAAGCAGTCCTATGCTACTGGAAACGTAACCTCTCAACTCCCTTGGTTTGTATCCTACTACAGGGGGTCAGAGCTAGGACCCATGTATGATGCATAAGGCAAAGATAAAAGCAGTACGAGGGAACAATCCAGCGTCGTGCAGGGTTTCCTGGGAACATTGCTGGAATGGACAGCTATATTTAGAATAGTCTGGGGTTTATTTCTCAGTTTTGGACATAACTTTACTACTTTTCTATCTTTCTTTTTTTTTTTTTTTTTTTTGTTCATATCTTTTAGCTTCTTTTTGCCCCTTTAATATAAAGCATTCATCTCTCCTCCTCTTCAGTTAAATATTTTACAGTATTTTAAACGAGCTTTCATATAACAACAGCTTTTTTTCTTATGTTTTTCAGTGAAAAAAAAAAACCAAAAAAACCCCAAAATACACTATAGGAATAATCCTGAAAGAAAATCTAACAGTGCATTGAAGAACTAACCTCAAAGAAATATATTTTCATATTGTCTCAAAACATCTAGCAGATCCTCAGTTGCCTGATCAAAACCAGCCCAGACCATCTTTTAAGTAAAACAATATATTTTTGCTGTTCCCAGTCTCTAGGTATTGCTTTAATACACAAACACRATGCTATTCACCACAGCACGTATCTGCAGGTAGCTTACAAAAATAGCACCATTTCCGAGAATTTTAGTTTTCTACAAAGTTAAGATTTTTAACTTAAAATATTTTACACAATAGCCATATTTTATACCAAAAAGAAACAGTAATGTTCAATTTTCATATACTGTAGACTCTGATCAGAAAATAGAGATATAATTGCGTTCATTTTGCTGTCATCATAACCTCTTCAAAAATCCTTGAACAACTCTTCAAATGACAAGCTTTTAGATGCATATTAGCATTTTTTTCAATTTTAAATTCTCTATAATATAAGATAAAATAGTTGTCATACTGCAGTAACTACTTATGACATATATAATGTCCTAAATTCAAAAATGAGATGGAGGATTTTTGTACTCCCAGTAAACATTTAGGTTTGCCTTCTGATGCACACACCCTTCTTTCAGAACACACATTTAAATTATTTTCCACATATGAGTGAGATGCTTTATATAATTGATGGATTTTTGAATCAGTTCTAAAACATATTCTGAAGAGTTAGGTTACTAAAGCTTTTTCTTTTACCTTTTCTTTTTTTTTTCTTTTTTTTTTTTTTGCATGTAGCTTGAGCTTACAACAGTTAGCAATACAATCACAGACAGGCAGACAGCAAACTATATCCATGCAGAAACAACCACTGCTGCTTTAGTAGAATTATCAAAACAATGGGTAGCCCTTTTTGCCTTTTGTGAAAAATACAAACTAAACAAGAACAGAGAAAACTTATTGAAAAATGTTTGGTTTTTTTTTTAATTACTTATTAAAATTATTGCATAGGTGTTTGACATTCCAAACTAGGATTTATCTCACTTCTATTTAGAAAAAAAAAAATTAAAAAGATTTACAGCATATATATGAGTAATGCAAAATTAGAAAATTATACGGAGCCCATGGACTGCTTTGTAGTACAGTTAACTTAAGCTGTCATTATGCCAAATTTAAAAAAAAAAAAAAAA